ATGCACTACAGACATTCCCCAAGATGCTTTCAAGACATGCCAGAGTCTTGAACACAGGCCCCCTTGCCTGTGAAAGGCGGATTAGGGCATTTCAAGGGGGGAAATCACCACCCAACCTATGCTCCGAGATGTAAAATGGAACAAAAATAATGGGTTTACAAGGCTGATAAATATTTGCTCTCCTTCCCGCTCTGTTCCCTTCTGCCTTCACGTCCATCCTCCCTCGTTGATAATACTAATTTGGCTTGTCTGTTCTTCCTGGCCTGCTTTTCCTCGCTCCCTCTCTCCGTCCCAGCAGCTGCAATCCGCAGAACGATTGAGGCAAAGGATTTTGCCAGAGGAGGGTGGCCGCGGCTGCTATAATGAAGCCCTGCCAAATACCAGTTTAGTGAGCCAGTAATGATGCCCTCTCCGTCTATATATTCCACTGCGGCACAGCACCCCTCTGGAACTGGGGAGAGAGACTGCCAGATTCAAAGAGAGCTGGCAGCGTCTCACGGAACAGCGTGAAAATAAGATACAGCTAGGAACCAGAGTTCTGTTTTGTAGTTTTTAAAAACATAAATACACCACGGTATGTGTGTTTGTGGGTAGAGAAACAGGTGGGGGGGATCCTATCATATAGCACACTGTTAAACTGTGGAACTCCCTCACACTGGTAGAAATGGCCACCAATTTGGATGTCTTTAAGAGGGTTGGGAGTTTTCTTGGCAGGGATACTGGAGTGGCTTGCCGGTTCCTGCTCCAGGTGGATCACGTTTGGTCAAAACTCTCCACTATGACCTGTCCATCTTGGGTGGCCCTGCATGACATAGCTCATAGCTTCTCTGAGTTATTCAAGCCCCTTCGCCACAGCAAGGCAGGGCCACTGGGCCCATCACCTCCTGGCAAATAGAAAGGGAAGAAATGGAGGCAGTGAGAGATTTTACTTTCTTGGGCTCCATGATCACTGCAGATGGTGACAGCAGTCACGAAATTAAAAGACCCCTGCTTCTTGGGAGAAAAGCAATGACTAACCTAGACAGCATCTTAAAAAGCAGAGACATCACCTTGCCAACAAAGGTCTGCATGGTTAAAGCTATGGTTTTCCCAGTAGTGATGTATGGAAGTGAAGCTGGACCATAAAGAAGGCTGATCACCAAAGAATTGATGCTTTTGAATTATGGTGCTGGAGGAGACTCTTCAGAGTCCCATGGACTGCAAGAAGATCAAACCTCTCCATTCTGAAGGAAATCAGCCCTGAGTGCTCACTGGAAGCACAGATCCTGAAGCTGAGGCTCCAATACTTTGGCCACCTCATGGGAAGAGAAGACTCCGTGGAAAAGACCCTGATGTTGGGAAAGATGGGAGGGCACAAGGAGAAGGGGACGACAGAGGATGAGATGGTTGGACAGTGTTCTCGAAGCATGAGTTTGACCAAACTGCAGGAGTCAGTGGAAGACAGGAGTTCCTGGCGTGCTCTGGTCCAGGAGGTCACGAAGAGTCGGACATGACTAAACGACTAAACAACAACAACAACAAGAGGGTTGGGAAAATTCTGTGAGGGGAGAGACTCCATCAGGCAAGGCCTCCTTCCACCTGCCTTTCTCTACCTTCTAGTCCCTGCTTCTCAATGTGTTTGGATTATTTTATGTACTGTGGCTTGCCGTTGTTTTGTTGATTATAGTTTAGATATTATTTATTGTAACTGCTGAGTGGATTTCTGTTTAACTTTAATATGTTGATATTATTTTATACGATTCTAATGATGGTTGAATGTTACTTTTTGATGTAGGTTGCCTATTTTAAAGTTATGTTTTATTAAGAGATGGTTAGAGGTTATGATATATGTAAAATGCTAAAGATGAAGTAAAATGAAAATCAGATAGGTGGGACTTGGGGAAGCCCAATTAACAATGTTTAGAAAATAAAGATATGATTGTTTTGTTTATTTCTTCTGTATGTGCTCTTTATTTGTGTTATAAAATGAATAATTTTTTTTTGGGAAAAAAATAAAGTTATGTTTTATTATCACATTTTTGTATTGCATTAGATTGTTATAAGATGTACATTTTTTTGTTTCTTCAGCTTGTAAACCGCCTTGAGTATTGTAAGATAGAAAGACGGGATACAAATTAAAAATGATGATGAAGGAGAAGGCTATCAATATCCAATAGCCCACATGTTCAGAGGTGCCGGTGCTTCTGAATGCTGGTTGTTGGAAGCCAAAGGGAGGAAGGGAAGAGTGCTCTTGAGCTTAGGTGCTGCCACATGACCCAGAAGCTGTATGCCGGCTCCCTCGGCCAATATAGCGAGATGAGCGCCGCAACCCAGAGTCAGCCATGACTGGACCTAATGCTTGGGGGTCCCCTTACCTTTACCTTACCCCTGATCATTAGGTCCAGTCACGAACGACTCTGGGGTTGCAGCGCTCATCTCACTCTATAGGCCAAGGAGCCGGCGTTTGTCAGCAGACAGCTTCCGGGTCACGTGGCCAGCATGACTAAGCTGCTTCTGGTGAACCAGAGCAGAGCACACAAACGCTGTTTACCTTCCCGCCGGAGCGGTACCTATTTATCTACTTGCACTTTGACATGCTTTCGAACTGCTAGGTTGGCAGGAGCAGGGACCGAGCAGCGGGAGCTCACCCCATCGCGGGGATTCAAACTGCCAACCTTCTGATCGGCAAGCCCTAGGCTCTGTGGTTTAGACCACAGCGCCACCCTCATGAGAAAGAGAAGACGGTTGGTCTTTCATGTCATTGTTACCTGGACCTATTTTAGCTGGAAATGCCAGGAATTGAACCTGGGATGCTCTGCATGCAAAACAGATGTTTTACTCCAGCCCTGTTGCTTCCAGAGGGTTTAACTCCACCCCATCCCTCTGTGAATACATGTTAACCAGGTAGATACTGTTATATACTGAAGTTCTCACCCTGGGCCAGCAGGGGGATAACAGAATATAGTTTTTACTCAGGCCCACATATGCAAATAAGGGATTAAAAGTGACGTTCAGTGATTGGATAGTTACAGAAAGTGTTACAGTTGCGTTGCAGTGGAGCTCTATATAAGCAGGCTGGCTGAACCCTTCAGTTCAGTTCTGTTCTGGCCTTTGAATAAACAAGAGCTGTTTGAAGAATTGCTGTGTCGTCTGATATGTTCACCCACAACTTAACAGATACGTTTGGCTGCAGCTCATTGTTGACTTGGTAGCAAACCTAGGTTGATCCTAGGCTGCTTCAATCATGGACCTGCTTTGAACCCCCAAATCCAGAGCTTTGTTTTCCCCAAAACAACCATACATGTCTCTGACCATCCCTCCCTATTTCATATCCACAGAGAAAAGGGACTGTGACAGTTTTCCTAGACAGACTTGTTCCACTGCTATAAAATCTGAGCCTTTTGTCTTAAATGGTTTGCAGCTAAGACCGGCGGGGAAAGAAAGTTCCATATAACAGATCGAAAGCATTTCTTCACATGTGTGCATAATCTACAGCTAAGCGACAACCTGGTGTACAGAAACACAAGTTTCCTAATGCTTAGATAAGCACCCCTGGATGAAGAGGGCCCCTCGATGCAGTAGCCTAAGCTTCACATTAGCAGCCAGCCTGAGCACTCGCAGCTGAATCTCTTAATTTAAGATTCGTCCATCAGAATTTCTTAGGGAGTGGGGTGGGGGGAAAGAGAGAGAGAGAGAAAGAAAGAAAGAGCAGAGCAAGGGAAAGGCAGCTCGAGAAATAAGTGTTGGATGGATCAGCCAAATTGTTTCTAAATGGTGCTTTAGTTGGATATCTCTGTGGGGGAGAAGCAGGCAGCTGCATTAGCGAGCAGACTAAATGCTCCCGCTTTGGGGAAAAGAAGAAAAAAAAGAATGGGTGGCGGGCAATTTGCATCCATTTTTTCCTCCCTTTGTGATGCTGTGCATGCTATTTGTTGTCACTGCTATTTTGGGGGCCAACGCAAAGCCACACCAGGGTGTGGAATTCAGAAGACGTAAGAATAAAAAAAGACAACCATGTTGCAACGTATTTGCCTCTGCCATTTGGAGAGAGGCTTGATACCCTACTCCCACCCACCCACCCACCACAAAAAGAGAGAGAACCCTTCAGGGACACTCTACAGCCAGAAAATAGCTTCTGCACTCCAGCCCCTCTCTTTTTGATCTGATGAATAAATAGGAACCTGAGAATCTGGAACACCTGCCGTTCTTCCAGCCTTGGAAAAAGGAGGGTAAACAGAGACAGAGAGGGAAAGTGAGAGTCGTTGAACTCATGAATATGAAGAGACATTGGCAAACGGAATGATTTTAAATAAAACACCTTCATTTGCTGAGCTGTTTACACTCTCGGAATAATTTAGGCAGGCGTCCTGTGCCGTTGATACACAGCGCTTTTCCGCCTTCCTCCTGAGCTACCACCAAGTATCTCATTCAGCTCTGAAGGCCACAGTGGAAATAACTAATGGGCCAGAGGGCCAGCACTCATTTGCAAACACTCGTCGTATCGTATGCAAGCAACATGCACAAATTCCATCACTGAGATGACGGCAAGCTCTTCCATTGGAGTTGTGCCCAGCAAACATCACTTGTGGTGGGGTAGCAAAGGCTGGATGCTTGGGGCCAAAGTCTGTGGCCCTGAACTCCAGAGGGGCCCAAATAACCACCTAGAGAGTAGCAGATGATGGTGTCCTGCTGTGGGGTGACAAGTGTACCCTCTGACTCCTCTCTGCCTCTTCTGTTCTGGGAGCGCCTTCTTCTTCTGACCCCCCTTGATCACTCCAACCTCCTGCCTCCAGCGCCTCCCAGCTCATCCCTTCCCCAGCCTCTTGCCCACTGTCCCACCATCAGGACCCAGGGTCTAAGTCCTTGTCTTCCCTGTCCTTGCTTGGGGGCAACTGGGCAGGAGGCTCCCATCACTCCTCCTCATACAACCAGTCCCGGGCAGATGGAGGTTGATGCCAAACAGCCCTAGAGTCAGAACTGGGCCAACAGGGACATTCTGGGGCTAATGCTGGTTACTACAGGGTGTAGCTTAGTGGTAGAACATCTGCCTTTCATTCAGAAGGGTCTGGGCTCAATCTCTGGCTTCTCCAAGGTAGGACTAGGAAGGATTCTATCATGGACAGAGTTAACTCCAACTTTCACAGTGTGATTTACTGCTGGCTCGCTCCTGAAACATCCCAGCTGAAACCCTGAAGAGCTTCTTCCAGTTAGTATAGACCAGTGTTTCCCAAACTTGAGTCTCCAGGTGTTGGACTACAACTCCCGTCATCCCTAGCCGCTGGTCCTGCTAGCAAGGGATGATGGGAGTTGCAGTCCAGCAACAACTGGGGACTCAAGTTTGAGAAACACTGGTGTAGACGCTTCTGAGCTAGATGGGCCAATGGGCTGACTCGGAATAAATCAGCTTCCTTTGTTCCCATGAGAAAATAAGTAAGAAGCAGGCAAGGGAATCATGCAGCTCCACTCAGATGTATATTTAGAGTCGTGATTAGAATCAATTGTCATCCTGATAATTTTTCTCACATTGAGCACTGCGGACAATAAATAAGCCCACAAATATGTAGTTGACTCCACAACTATGCTTAATTCAGGGACACAGACATTCTCTGAGGGGGGGGAAAACCCTGAGGGACAGCAGAAATTCTTCTAATCTCCCTCCATGCAAACTCAGCTTCTCCTTTTGTCTGAGGCCAAACCGGAGGATGTCGCCCACATTTCCTTGGGTTAATGAAACACTCAGAGGGAAATAGATCAAGACACTCCATGGAGCCAGCCACTGGCCAAGTGTCAGGCCTGGTTAATATGCAGATGTGTGGAGCTTCTACAGAGGAGCTATGAGGAGCTGACACACCTTGTGCCCAGGGCTTTAAACAGATATTCACTCATATCCCCCCCCCAAATGGACTTCAGGGCTTTGACTGCACGTCAGCTAATTTTGCCAGGTAAGCTGCAACCATGTGTTCTCCTGCTGGTTCAGAAATGGGTCAGTGATGCAGTGGGTGCTCCTGACATCAAGGATGTCGGCTGACTTAGTTAAAGTGGGAGGAAGGAGGCGAGCGCACAAAGAAATTGCCGACTCTCTTATGTGCTGGCTAAGCACAGGGCCACTGCTTCTAATGATAGGGATGGGGGCATTGACCACCAGCCTTCTTCTCTGCTTGCAAACTTCCTAAATCCACTCTATTGCTGGCCACATATTAATCCAAAATCTCTTCTAGGATGTTGCTTTTGGCAGGTACGAAGATGGGGGAAAACCTCTCATTTTCTTAAGGTGTCATCCTAGAATGGTCTAACTGCAGCTGGAGCAAAGCTGTAGAGCTTGGACTTGGGTCTATATATATACAGTGGTACCTCAGGATGCGAACGGGATATGTTCCGGAGCCCCGTTCACATCCTGAACAGAACGTAAGACGTGACGGTGGGTCTGCGCATGCACAGGTCACGCACATGCGCGTGACGTCATTTTGAGTGTCTGCACATGCGCAAGCGGCGAAACCCGGAAGTAACGCGCTCCGTTACTTCCGGGTTGCCGCGGAGAGCAACCCGAAAGCGCTCAACCTGAAGCACATTCAACCCGAGGTATGACTGTATATGTATATATATATATATAAAATATTGGAATTTTATTTACAACATAACATAAAAACCCCCAGCCCCCCAATACAGAAATCCACCCTCATTAAATGTGAGCATAACATACAACAATACAAACAACCAAGTAAAAGACATCCTTTATCCTGTATCTGGCCTCCTTATTTACTTCTTATAAACTGTTTCCTTTATGAATAATTATTAAGATTTTTCTAATTATAACTTAAATATCCACAAAGTCTCCTGCGGACATTAATTGAAACAAGTCCAGGTATGTATTTTAGGGCACTGTTTGGACTTGGGTCCATAACTCAGCTCTTGTCTTGACAAAGTAAGAGTTATCAAGAGAGGGTCCCATCAAGTACAACCCCCTGCAATGCAGGAATCTTGCCTACAGTTGTCCCTGGGTAGGGTCAAACCACCAACCTTTTGATTAACAGCCAGATGCACTGACCCATTGGTGAGCAACACATGCCTGCAGCTTGGGTGATGTCAATATTGCCCCAAAGCATTGTGTAATTCTGTCACTCTGTTGTTGTTGTTTTTTGTATTTTGTGCTTATAGCTCTACAGCTTCCTATATATCTGTGTTGTCGCCATTGTTGTTTACATTTCTATATCAATCTCCATCTGAGGATTGCAGGGCAATTTACAATATATATGTTTACCCGAGTCCATGGCCTTTAGAAAAAGTGAGGCTGTTAAAATGTTGCCTGAAGAACAATGATGAACATTGGCTTGGATTTTCTTTCTCTTTTCTTTTTGCTTGCTTGTTTGTTTTAAAAAGCACAGCGGTGAACATTTAAGAAAAGATGAAAAGCTCAAAGCTGTAAACACACACACACTTTGCACTGCTTTAGCAAAGCACAAAACAAAACCCAGAGCTCTTCAGAATTTTGCAGGCAACTTTTAGGAGAGTTTCACAGTGTAAACCCTTTCAGAGGGCACAAGCGCCAGAAAGGAAAGGGCGGTGTGAAGCTACAAAGTTTCCGTCAACCAACTTTTAACTACAGTATTCTAAGGTAAGGAAGAACAAGATGAACCCCTCCCTCAAAAAAAAAAAAAAAGTATATATCCTATTACAAAGCCATTTAGCTTCTTAAATAATGGGGTATTGTGGGTGTGTGGGTGTTGTGAGATTGTTGCTGGGTTGTTGTTTTTTGTATCTTTATTTTAGATTTTGTTGTGATTTATGTGGAAATTGTTCAGCTGGGTTTTGCATTCTTAATGTTTAATTTATTGTTCATGACTACTTTTGTTATTTTATGGTTGTAAGAGCTGGGCCATAAAGAAGGCTGATCGTCGAAGAATTGATGCTTTTGAATTCTGGTGCTGGAGGAGACTCTGGAGAGTCCCATGGACTGCAAGAAGATCAAACCTATCCATTCTGAAGGAAATCAGCCCTGAGTGCTCACTGGAAGGACAGATCCTGAAGCTGAGGCTCCAATACTTTGGCCACCTCAGGAGAAGAGAAGACTCCCTGGAAAAGACCCTGATGTTGGGAAAGATGGAGGGCACAAGGAGAAGGGGACGACAGAGAACAAGATGGTTGGACAGTGCTCTTGAAGCTACCAGCATGAGTTTGACCAAACTGTGGGAGGCAGTGGAAGACAGGAGTGCCTGGTGTGCTCTGGTCCATGGGGTCACGAAGAGTCGGACACGACTGAATGACTAAACTGTTGGGATACTGCCAGGGAGACAAAAGCCATCATGACCCCACGTCGATTCCAGACGATCCATTGATCTCCCGTAGACACGCAGTATCATTCAGTTAGCGACACGAGCTCCAGAAATAGCTTGCCACATTCCAGAGCTGGTGCACGCTCCATCAGCAGAATTCGCACAACAAAAGGCGCACTCAGGAGAGCATATTTACAAGTTTATTCAGCGTTGGTCAGAACAAAGAGAAAACATGACTGCCTGCTTCGATGTCTCAGGCACAGAGAGAAAACGAAAGCATAGACACAACAGAAACATCCTGTGAACAGGAAATACGCAGGCTGTGACACAAACATCCTGCTCCCTTTTAAGGTGGAACGGAAATATCCTAACATAAACAACAACAAGGCTGGAGTTTTCGGAAATGCCATACAGAAAAGGGGGAAGGCTTTGCGCTCCGGCTTATTGCAGAGTACCTGATGTCTTCTTGGGTACAAAGATTGGGCACCTTTCTTAGGAGCCGAGATAGAATAGCCTTGTGTCTGATAAATAGCAGGACCCAGTGTGCTCCATCAAAGGGTCTCTTTGCTATAATAATTGTAGGTGGTGACTTGCTGCAATAGATCTTTGCTGGCATGTGGCAATAACATAAATAGATTTGTTGTGCATTTTTTCGTGTGTGTGTGTGTTTTGCTAAGTCATCTTATCTCATTCACAAAGCGGAGACTTAAAAGTATATGGGCACATTCTCTGATATTTCCCCCCCTTCAGAACCACACCCCTCACCAAAAGTGAGGCTCAGGACTGGCCATTGGGGAAAGGTAGGCCATAGCCAACACCTCAGGTGGCCTGAATAGTCTCAGTTATGAATGACTGCAGCACAAAAGTGGTTGTTACCTCCAACCTTAGAAAAAAAGGGAAGCCAATGGGGAAAATAACCTGTTTCTGGAAAAGGAGGAGTGAGTTGGCACAGAGTCGGGGAATGGAAGCAGGAAATTCAGCTTTGAGTCAAAATGACTCAGGAGTAGAGCCAGGGCTGGCTTTAGGTTTGACAAGGCCCTCAGCTACTGAAGGTAATGTGGCCCTTTATATGTCCAGCTGTTCTTTGTTCAACAACAAATTGCTGCTTTTTTGTGTTATATGCTATATGGTAATTTATGGACCTAATAGCTATTTAAAGCCATTTGCACATGCAGAATGTAAAGGTAAAGGGATCCCTGATCATTAGGTCCAGTTGTGACCAACTCTGGGGTTGCGGCGCTCATCTCGCTTTATTGGCCGAGGGAGCTGGCGTACAGCTTTCGGATCATGTGGCCAGCATGACTAAGCCGCTTCTGGCAAACCAGAGCAGCGCACGGAAATGCCATTTACCTCCCCGCCAGAATGGTACCTATTTATCTACTTGCACTTTGACATGCTTTCGAACTGCTAGGTTGGCAGGAGCAGGGACTGAGCAACAGGAGCTCACCCCATTGTGGGGATTCGAACCACCAACCTTCTGATCGGCAAGTCCTAGGCTCTGTGGTTTAACCCACAGCGCCACCCGCGTGCGGCCCTTTCTTGAAGAATGTAGGCACCCTATATATAGAAATGAGCAAACCAGTGATATTTTAGGGAGCAGCCTAGCAGGCTTACACAACACAAAACACTGTTGCTGTTATTTTATTTGTTTTTTATCTTATATTTTGGAAATGCACGTCCATTTTTTTCCTTTAATTTTTTTTGGGGCCCCCAAGAGAGTAGGGCCCTAAGCTATAGCTTGCTTAGCTTATACATAAATCTGGCACTGAGTAGAGAATCTGCTTTGCATGCATAAGGTCCTAGATTCAATCTCCAGGTAA